CATTCTTATATACGGACGCTCCTGAGACAAAGCGTCGCGCTCCTTAGTTACGCGTATCTGGCGACTCGTCGCTAACGTACGAGCGGTGAGTGGGGGGCAATAGGCGTGAGCCACGGAATCGGCCCGAAAAGGGCAACTATCTCCGAGCACTGATATAATATATTATATATTGATATAATATACTTTTAATAATTTCATAACTTTAGAAAAAAAGAAGTGTTATTCTTTTGTTTAAGAAATTCACATTTGTTTATATATAAAATTGCAATACTTTGCAAAGTATTAGGATATAATTAATTGTGGTTGATTCAATATTGATATTATGTCAAAATGATAGCCGAAGAATCGTCAATAATTTGTACTATTTCAATGTCGATTCGATCAGAATTTTAACTTTACTTTAACATTTGGTTTTTGACGTTAGTTCAATGTCACATCAACTATGGGTATATTTCTACAATAATTAAATAAAAATCACGCTGTGATCGACCAGTCGATCGCGATCGATAGGTTGGGCAAGCCTAGTTTATATTTACTTAAGAATTTTGACTTACCAAATGTCATAACACCAATTTAAAGTGTGAAAGGAAAATATATATAATCAAATATATAATCAAATCCAGAAATATATTTTTCAGGCAAACTTCTAGTTTGGATCCTAATACTTTGGATTCTAATACTTCGAATTTGAGTCTTTTGTTACTGTATGTTTTCTTCGTAAATTCGATAGCACCTTCCGAAATATCGGTATCTTCAGTTAGACCGATACCTGAGGCGATGCCCACGATCCCACTCCCACTATCGTTCAAGGCTCGACAGCCTCCAATCACGCGGGTGCCTCCAGGAGAGTCTCTATATAAAAAATATGCTGGGATCGTGCTTTTCGGCAAATCATCATTAAAATTTTTTTTTGCTAAATAAATTTTATTTTTATAAATAATCAAATATCAAAATTTTTGTTGTTAATATATTATATATGTAACCTATTATACACATATATATTATATACATATGTATAATAATATATGTTAGATAGTAATATATAATAATTACAATTTTGATAATCACCCATGAGGTACTATTGTTAATCCATTTTGCTTAAAGTGGTTTCCCCAGTAGGCCTATTTCACTAGTGACAAGCTATTATCGAAATTGTAATTATTATACAGGGTGTCCCAGAATTCGCGCATTCGGAATGCACAGCGTGATTGTCCGTGCCAAAAGAAACAACTTTTTTCTCTGGCAAAATTACGTCTGGACAATACTTTTTAAATGAGAGTAATTTTAAGTTAATGAATGAGCACTCTAGGTTACGCATGAATCAGGGACGAACAATAAAAATGTTGATATTTAATTATTTATGAAAATAAAAATTATCTAGCAAAAAAAATTTTAATGACGATTTGGCAGAAGATACGATCCCAGTATATTTTCTATATAGGGACTCTCCTGAGGCACAGCGTGAAGATCATTGTACATGAAAAAGTTTTAGTCGTAATAATCGTAAAACCGGAAGCAAATCAACTAATCACAATTAAACATTCTTATTACATTAGAATGCTTGAGTGTAAGAATGTTAGGCCGGTATTCATAATCCGTTCTTATATTTAAGAGCATCTCAAGTACGGTCTTAAAGATGCTGTGTGGCCATTTCATTGGTTGAATAGGATCTTAAGACGACCCAAGACCACACTTAAGACGATCTTGAATATAAAAATATAAATACCGGTTTTAGAATGTTAGAATGTTAAACTGTTAGAGTGCTTGATTGTGAGTGATTTGCTTACGATTACGATCTTACGATTACTACTAAAACTTTTTCAGTGCAATGGCCTTTACATGTGCGATCGGCAGTTCGGCTGTCGAGCCTCGAACGGTAGTGGATCGTAAGCGTCGCCTCAGATATTCGGCGACCCGAAAAGGGCATCTAAAGCCAGCGGCACACGATGCTATTTTATCTGTTGGATTGCTGTGTGGGCAGCTATGCTGGCAATGCTACTGACCGTGTTACTGGCTTGGCTTCAGATGATGCAAGCTTTCGTGCTAGTTCGTAATGACTTTTGTACTGGCATC